CTTATCTTTTTAATTTGCTAAGATATTGCTCATTTAATAAATTAAACACAGTGGCACCCCACCCACCTCTTTCCATTTTTGGAATTGCTCCCATATATATATACTTACTTCTATCTTTGACATGAATAACTAATCAGAAGCTCAGAATGTCTCCCTAGTGGCTTTCTTAGCCATTTTAATGGGCTTGGTGCCATTAATTTCTTTTGAACCAATATTTTAAGGAGGTAGGGTGTGCCTTTAGTCTGCTCGAAATTTCATATTTTTTTAGACTAAAATACATTTTAGTTACTAAGCTTGATAAATTATAGTGGAATTCTTTGGTATTAATGTAGTAATTTATGATTTTTTAGTTATTCAAATGTATATATAAAACCTAAAAAAAATTATTTTGTTTCATATCCTCCACATGCACAGTTTCTAAAGGCTTAGCAACCGAGTACAAAAGTCGTAACTAGAAGAGATAATTGGTTGCTTTACTTCTTTCGTTACTGTTCTATGTTTTGGAAAAAATAAGTTTAAAAACTTGTTTCAAAATAGCAATAATGTATGTACATATATAATATTTGAAATATTACTGTATTTTACAAAATACTAGACTATTAAAACACAGCAAGACAAGTTACTTTGTACAGACCAAAGGTCAGTTTTATGTTATTAGATATGGTAACATTAGTGCATGCGTGCCGCATCATTGTAACTTGTGTATTGTTAGCGAGGTACGGCTGAAAGATCAATATAATAAAAATAATAAATGCATCTATATATAAATGTATAATGTTATGAGATTTAAGCTATTACGTCTAAACATTTATGCTTTTGTGTTATAATTTATGTTCATTCTAGAATGAAAGAGGCATAATTTATATTTATTTGTTATTTTTATGATGGTTACAAGATCAGTCAAATCTATCGAACCCCTACAGAGATTCATTACTGAAAATAACTGAAAAAATATAAAGTTTTTTCTTAAGAAACATTTAATAACAATCTGGAAATTATAAAGATTTCGTATGTTAAATTTGAAAATTTTCTGATGCATAAAAGTATTTTTAATCTTAAAATGAAAATTACTCTGCATGATTGATAGGCAACATGGGAAAAGAAAAAAGGCATGAGAAAAATATTGCTTTACAAACCTTAAGACTTAATAAAAAAAAATTGATATTTTGCATGTGAAAGCATTGTAATGTTTACCGATAATCTGCCAAATTTCGTTAACATATGCTTACTAATTTAAACGTTATAACAAGCACAAAATGGTTAAGAGGTCAGTTCCAGGTACCAACCCCTCGCTGAAAGATTTAAAACTCATACAATGTTAAAATTTGGATTATTAGCTATGTCTTTATGCCAACTATAAATATACATACACACACACACCATTACAAGAAAGTAGTTCAATTAAATTTTGAATGTAACTCACCAAACCTCTGAACATGTACACAAAATAATGCTCGTTCTGAAAGAGTTGCACCACATACTTTAAATATCTCAATAGATATCGGAACTATATTTAGACCATGGGACCATTTTTACTTGTATATAGTTTAAATACTATAACATTTAATACAGTGTGTGTATCTTCACAAAATTTGTCAGACTTTTAGCACACGTTACAAATATTTTGTACACAAAAAATCAGTTTTTTTAATGATTTGTCTGTGAATATATCGAGTACTTGTTTTGAATAGTCCATGTGCAAAGTGATTTTCATGTTAAGATTAAAAATACTTTTCTTCATCTCAAAAATCTCAGCCTTCATTTGTGTGTTCTCTAAAACCTCCTAAATACATTTCAAATGTTTGTTTTCACTAAAAATGTACATCTTATCTGTTATTTTCTCGACCATAACTCCATAGAAGGTTGGTCAATTTGAATGACCTAGTAACCAACAAATAAAACAAAAATATGTAAATAGAAATAAATCTAAATTACCCTTTTTTTCTTTCTAGAATGACTTCAAATTATAACATAAAACTACATTCATTTATCCCAAACAGCTTTAAACTTGTACTTATATATACCTATTGATAATTAAATTTGATTTTTATTGTCCTTTCAACCCTAAAGCCTAACCTTACCATTTCAAATCTTGTATAAAAAGAAAGAGTTCCATATCTGTTTATTTCAAAAAGGCTGAGAAAGCCACTATGGGGCCAATTGGAGCTTTCAATTGGTTATTCACACATCACAGAAAGAAATAGGTGTACGTAAGCAAGTGTTTCAAAAAATGAAAAGAAATGGGCACGGCCACCGTGTTTATTCAGTAAATGTAGCAATATCTCAGCATATAGAAAAGACTGAAGGTTTTTATTTTATACTATAGCTTTTCAATATAGGTAATTTGAGTTCCTAAATCATAAGAAACTATAGACTTCGTATTTGGACATCACAAACATCTAATTTGAACCAATGCTGCATTCAACATACCACTTGACACACAAAAATCAAGATTTAGGTGTTTTTTAATATTTACTTTTAAACTAAGAAATTTGTTAATCTATAATATTAAGTCATCAAGAACTTAACGCCACGTTTGGATCACTTTAATTAAAACCCCCCAGAAAACGTACATCACGTATAATAGTTAAACGAACCACCTAAACGTCACGTTAGTGTACCCTATATACCGTTTAGTATACTCGAATCCCTTATAGTGATGGCACACGACAAGACACACATTTGACATGTAACGCTGTTTGAATACAAGAAGGGTAACAACTCCTCTGTAGCCACAAAGAACATCAAAGAAGTTTATGGAAATGTTTTGAATGTTCATAAGTGTCAACGATGGTTCAGCAAATTTGATTCCGTTGACTTTAGCCTTAAAAACTGTGATGGCAGGGTTGTAATTTATACTGATGTTCTGAAGACACTTGTTGAGTCTAACCCAAGGCAACACACTCATGAAATGGCCCTGCAATTGCATGTCTCTCATGAAACAATACGTAAACATCTACGAAATATGGGAAAATTCTATAAAAAAAGGTGTTTGGGTGCCTCACAAGCTCTCCAATGATCATCGTTTCCAATGAGTGAACGTTGCTTCGTCTCTTCTGGAGCATAATGCATGTGAACCATTTTTGGACAGATTTGTCATCGGTGATAAAAAATGGATTTTTCTATGCAAATATTAAATGCCAAAAACAATGGTTCAGTCCTAGACAAAAACCACTTCCAACCCCAAAACCTAGACTCCATCTGCAGAAAGTGATGCTTTGCAGTTCGTGGGACATCAAAGGAGTAAATCATTTCAAACTTCCTCAATCCATAGCAAACTGTCAATGCAAAGATTATGTTCAGGAACTGGAACATTTAAATCAAGCTCTTCATCAGAAATGCCCTTCACTTGTCAATCGGAAAGGTGGTCTTCTTCTCCACGACAATGCACGTCCACATGTGGCACGATTGACACAACACAAGATTATG